GCTATTGTGACCTTAATCCTTGGAAAATTAGCAATCAAATAGATGATTTTCAGCCATTTTTAAGTTAGCTTTTTAATCTTTTCTTCTATTTTTCATTTTATGACATGGTTTAGTATGTTGCGCTTTTAAGATTTAAATGTGTGAACGATGCATGAATTTTACCTCATACATCAAAATCATACAAGAACTCAGTTATTATTATTATTTTTTTTTTCAAAATTATATATGAGCTCAAGAATTTGTCTTATCGATATATGAATCACTTTCCGTCTGTCAAAATTAGCGAAACAATCTATGTGAAAAATGGAGTGCCTACATGGCAATGACTTAAAGACACTTGACAAGTTGAAAATTGAATACCGCTATCTCTCACGTAGGCAAGCGTTGAGAATAATTTTTTGTTCAAGGTTCAAGAGGAAGGAGAGGAACCACAGCTTGGGAAATCCCTTCTCTTAGTACACTTATTCCCCTTTCATCCAGAGTTGTTGTCACGAGTGGCACACGAACTTTGTCCCTATATAAAAATCATATGAAACTCAATTTTGTATCAAAAATCAAACGTGGATAGACAAATTTGTATCACATTTGTACACGTCTTAACTTATTTTGTGAAAATTAATGGAACAAATCCCATGACAAATTGCACAAACTTCAAAAACCTTCTCAAAATGACCCTTCAGAACGGACGTCTTGATGTTCTTTTCGTGAGAAAATGCAGATCTACCTTCAGAGAAACACGAGAAATGTGTACGAACATTAGGTTTTCAAAAACAACCCTTAGAACGGACGTCATGATGATATTTTGCCTTTTTTTAATTTTGAATAGGCTGGTCAAATTTTTTGGCTAACGAAAATGGATGGAAATCATCCATCTACATATATGAGAAAATTGTATGGTTTAGTCCCTAATTTATTGTCATTCTAAAAAGGATTACATGGTACTTTAATCTCTAACTTTTCGTTATAGTTGCATAACCATTTCTCAAATAAAAAAAAATAAAAAGTATTTTCGAAAGGCTTACTAAATTATCACATAACCCTCAAATATCCATGAAGGTAAATTTTATGTCTCAACTTCAATTGATAAAGAAAACTTGAAGTGCTTCCACAAGGCTCGTGTTATTATTTAACAAAGATTTAGACAATTCCCGTTATTAAAAACAGACCTCAAGTTATAATAAAAGATTAATGAACAACTTTTTTCTTTCGAAAAGATCAATAACCTACTTACTATAAAAGTAATAGATTTAATGACTATTAGTGCAATTTTTCCATATTTTAATTTGATTCAGAGTATTGGGTTATGACCTCCCCCCACGTTGAAACTAAATCTTCTATCTAGATGCTCTGCGTCAACAAAGTCTAAATAATAAAATAAATAAATAAAATTGGGTTTTGATCCTAATTTGTTGTCAATACAACGTGCAATGTGTTTGTGTAAGTTCAACTCACGATCTATGCACACTTGGTCGAGGTAAGTCACACATCAAGTGAACCTCATAAAATATAACCCAATGTGTCTATTAATGTGACAAAATGTTTGTTAATTCTTGATTCATTATAGTGGGCTAAAATCCAAACACATGATACTAAAAGCCTGTTTAATAGTGATTATAAGAATCAATTTTTTGACCGTTAAAAATAAAAGTGGATCTCACTTATAAGCGAAGAAGTAAAAAATGACGACTGACTTAGGGAAGTAATGATCAAAAAATTGATTTTTCGGGATAAAAAATAGAACCAAACGGGGGCTAAGTTTCTTGTCTTGTTTCTATTAAGTGATGCTTTGGATTTTTTTTTTTTAATTGGTTGGGTGATTTGTATTGTCCATATTATTTTATCAACATAATTATATTCATATACTTGCATTACTCTCCCCCTTTGTTATACTCATTTTCGGAAGAAAATGCAAGACTTGCTTATAAAAGTACTCGTAAATGCAACATATTTATTATATTAAATCAATAGTTGTCGCGTGAATTCATTCCGGACAACTGTTAGAGCTCCCGATTTTCAAATGATATACTATCACATATGATTAAATAATACACTTACATGATAAAATTTATTAATGGCGCATACAGAATTTTTGATAAGTAAAAAGTCGATTTTGATACTAAGAAGTCACTTTTAAACAAATTTGAATATTTTTCTAAAATTGCTTGTTCTACTATAAGAGTTGTCAGAGAAGCTACCCTAATGAAACCATTTTTTTTTTTTTTTTAACGAAACTTTCCCAAAAAATTCACTTACAAGAAGCAGAAAAAAATAATAAATGAATAACAGAAGCCCATCGTTGGACCCTAATTTCCTTATCTAATATGCCCCTAAAGTCTTTATCAAATTTTTTTTTTTTTTTGATACCCAGGTCTCCCAGCTTCGCTAAACTAATTCCTGGACCTCAAGCCCCCGTCCTCTTATTAGCTTGAGGAAGTTAATCGCGGGTTGTGCCCTTGTTGGCTCCCAGGTTCCTGCATTACTTATATTCCTTCTCCTAAGAGAGCTATCGTCACTGCCTTCCAGCACCTTGCCTTCGAGATAAATCCCCCCTTCAAAATGCTGCCTTCCAGAAATCGAACTCTCCACGCTAGGTTTGTGAGCCCACCAATGCAATTGTTCCACCAACTCAGATGTGCCTCGGGGGGCATCTTTATCAATTAATAAGTTTGAAGAGTGTAATTATTTTTACAAGAAGAACTCATATTCAACTCATGAGTTGAGATAAAATTTTAAATATTGAAATATCTTGGTAAACTTTGGTGATATGGTTGAAGTGTTTGTCACACTTGCTTTCATCCACATTTATTTCTTATAGTTTGGAATTTTTGGTTTTAATATTACTAAACTAGTTAGATTAGGTTATCGGCTAATTACTACAATTTAAGTTTTCTAAACCTCAAACGTCAACCACTTGTATCCTAAAATTGAATATACATACCTACAAGTCATTCAATGTCAAACCTAATTGGCACATGGCCTCCAATTACAACAAGGGAATGTCCAAAATAATTTATTTATATTAACCAAAAATCCCACCAAAACTTCAAAATAGTTATTCACTTTATTGGTGGGAATTTATTTTTCTTCAAGATGTTTAGAAATTTAAATCTTAATATAAAATGGTAAAGCTTATAAATTTTATTTTCCCTTTTTTTATGACTTGTTGACTAATAATTGCGCTTTAAAATTGAATACACTCGTGTTTAAATGTCATACTATTCTCGGAATTATGCTGGGGGGACAGGCTCTTTTGACATGATTTATTTCCAGGGCTGATTTGGTGCCCCCTATTGGTGGGGCACCTGACGGGCAGCCCTGGAAATAAACCCTGTCAAAAGAGCCTGTTTGAATGGCTTTTCCCCTATTCTCGTTCTTTAAATTGAAGTTAAAGCACTCGATCACCGAGAATTAACTCAACTAGCATAATGATTTTGTCAAGTAAAATACTTCGTTTGTGTAAATTTTATCAGTAGTTTGTTTTAGTTTTAGTATTTTACTATTATATGGCCGTTATATTTTACATCTAGTACAAAAATATGATCGAAATATTGTAACGACGTAATCATGAATGCCGAATGCCATCAAATGACATATAAGCCCATGTTTAAGGGCCCCTTAAACTTTTTTAGCGACTCGAAAAAGGAAAATAAAGACAACTCTTCCTGATTACTTTTGACAAATTAGAACCAAGCACCAAATAAAATTGTAGGTTTGAGTATGCTTTTTGCATTATTACCCTTATAATTGTACTTAGCTAAAATTTATTATGGAAATAATTATAGCATTTACAGCTATTTAGTTCTTAGAATGTGGGCTATATTTAGCTCAATTATGTAGCTAAAAATTTTGATAATAATTTAAGTCAAAGTTATTAAGTAATTTTAACACAACATTTCATATACTCGTAATTTATATCAATTTTCAAAGGTACATTTTATCATCTTTTATTAAAATATGATTTTTTTTCTACCAAAATCAACCAATGACATAAGGATAATAATTGTCTTTGAGTACATTAATTTTGTAACCACAAGCATGTTTTCACAATTTATTTTGCGAAAACGAACATGATAAAAAAAAATAAAAATCAATTTTAGGTGGTTTAAGAGTTGCTGTTCAATTAAATAGTTATGAACATATTTGGGAGTGTCCTAACTCATACAACTCCAAATTCTAAGGAATCCAAAAAATTAAAAAATTGAACCCTCTAACAGAAGTTTCATAAAGGGATTAGAGCAGACTATCAAGAGGATTTTTTTTTTTTTTTTTTTAATTTTCTATTCTTGAAAGGAAGAGCATATAAATCTATTCATTTCTAAGTCCATAAATGCACAATATTCAGGTAAATAAAATTTCCACATTAATCCGTGTATTTTACAAAACTAGCTATTAGGTCCCTATATTTCTCAAGATGTAAAAAGAAGGTGTCGTGTTTACAATTCAAATGTTTTTTTAATCACAAAGTAGCCTTACACGAGCGATGTAAGAAAAATTAGAGGAACATTATATTCTACCTCACTTCAAAACAACATTGACAATAATGCGCTAGTGTTTCCCCTGCTGGTTTCATGAAATTAGTCTTTTATTTAAAGTATTACTTCTCAAGTTGTCCCATTTGTAGCAAATGTCTCCAAGAAGGGGCATTTCTCCTTAATACAAAGTGATGTGTTAATTAATGAAAAATCGAATATAAAAATCCGACACAAACGAGACACAACTGCTCTAATAAGCAAAGGTTAATGACTTCTAAGTTTAATTATTTTGTGAATATAATTATCTAAGATTAGTAAATCTGCCATTTTTCCAAAATAAAGTTGGTGAAAAGTGAAAGTCAAGAGCCATTCACCCTGCAATATCTAATAAAATGAGGGGGCACAAATGCAAACAAAAATACCACCATGGTCCCTACGAGGGTATTTTAGGAAAACAAATTGTCCCACGTTCCCACGCTTCACGCGCAATTCATTCTCAACTTTAAAAAACGGCGACTGAACCAACTTTCCATAAAAGTAAATGCCAGCAAGAAATCAAATTTTTGCTTCTGCTCTTTTCACTCCAAAATTCCTTACTCTTAATCTCATCCTTCGCACATTCCTCTGTTTTCTCGCAACGTTTCAGATTCTTTTCTTCTTTTACTATTTGTTCATTAACTGTCGCTCCTTTAATCTTCGACGGAGATTTTATTCAGTCAAACGTTCATCAAGAAAAAGGTAAAACTGAATTAATGTCCAATCCGTTACGCTGTACTCCGTGTATTTTTGCTAAAAATTGTTTGCTGCTGTTTTTGACTACTTTTTGGTTTGTTTATTTTTTATTCTTATTTTTTTTCGAGTAAAGGTTGATCTGCGTTCTTCTGCTTTGAATTTTCTGGATTTAGAGTTTGTCCTTTTGAGTTATACTTTTTGCTTTGTTTAATTAATGTTTTCGTTTTCATAAAAATGTGGGAGAATTTCGACTTTTACCGTTTTAGCAACTACACGGAAAGTTTGACCAAAGGTTTCTGAATCTTCCAGCCTTTTGCTTCAGTTGATTTATTTTGAACTTTCGTCTTTGTGGTGAGTTAATTTTTCAGATTTCAAAGCTTTAGACCCATAATTTCTGCATTTGTTTATTGTTAGATTGTTTAAGTAAAAATTGTTTATGGGTTGGTCTTTAATTCTCTCAATACTTATTTCTTGAAATGAGAGAAATTATCTCTAGATGTTATTAATTTTGTCTTGATATTGACGATTCATATCTATGTAAGAATTCCTTTGATCAATATGCTTGTGTTATGGAAATATATTTTGGTCAAATTTCACTGTCTACACGAGCTAATTATGGATGTTTCCTTAACAGGTTTATTCCATAAATGAGATGCTTGGATAGAATATATTGATCCAATAAGAAAGAGATGAAAGAAGAGTCATCGGGGTTGATAATTGGAATATCAATTGGGGTGGTGATCGGTGTGGCTTTGGCCATATTTGCATTCTTTTGCTTTAGGTACCATAGGAAGCGCTCGCAGATTGGAAATAGCAGTTCTAGGAGAACTGCGACTATCCCAATCCGTGCAAATGGGGCTGATTCTTGTACAATAATGTCAGACTCATCTTTTGGGACCGAGTCTCCCAGGCCAAGTAATCAGAATGGCATGTCATTGTGGCTTGGGGGACTAAAGAAGGCCAATGTTGTTTCTGCATCTGGGATACTGGAATACTGTTACAAGTATGTATGTGGCTGCTCTTAGTTTCTTTGTTAATTGTTGCAGGAAGATATAACACCATGAGATGTCCATTTGTCACCATTGGTTTAGAAAGTAATCTGCGGTTAGTATCTTAGTTTAAATCAATTCATTATCTATTTGATACCTGAACACCTATTGATCGGTCCTAGAATGAAGTGAGTGTAAACTTTTGAATACTGGCGGGATTCCCGTTTGGTCTAATCCGAACAGCTGTAGAAAATAGTAACCAGGTCTCACAAATAAGTAAGTTGGTAGCATAGGTGACACTGGAATAACAAATTTTTTCTGTTGTAGTAGTAAAAGCTGAAGGTTTTACTCAAGAGTTTGTTGTTTTGTCAGGTTTTGAGTTCAATTTAAATGGGTAAATATTGGGACCTTATGATTCAAAGTTTGGCCCGAGTTTGTCTATACTATTTAATGGGGACAAATTATTCCATAGCCTGAATAATAGTGCGTATTGGCACTTAATTAAAAAACTCAGGGATTATTGTAGTTGGAACAGAATATATTTGAATGTTCAGTGATATTAGATATTCATTCTAAATCCAGATTTTGTAATTGTAAAGTATGTGGGTTTAAGTATGTATCTTCTGTTTTATGGTTATATTTTTTTTGTCTGAATCTAGTTTTGGTTGATAAACAAGCAGGGACCTGCAAAAAGCAACCTATAATTTTACCACATTAATAGGTCAAGGGGCATTTGGTCCTGTTTACAAAGCTCAGATGTCAACTGGTGAGACTGTTGCTGTAAAAGTGCTTGCAACTGATTCTAAGCAGGGGGAGAAAGAGTTCCAAACAGAGGTACCGTTGTTTAACGAGTATTATGGCTTCTGGTTTGACCATTTGAAGAGTCATAAAATTGTATTTGCTAAGCACATGTTCCCTTGCATTGCATTGCACTGCGTGGCCTAAAATCACAAAAGATAAGAAGCTAATGCTTGGTAAAATTTATGCCCCTGTTTGACAGCCAGTCTTCCAAAAAAAAAAAAAGAAAAGAAAAGAAAAGAGTTTTTCTGTAGTAAATTTTTGAAAAATGAAGAAATATGAAAACGTTTTGCGTTTCTGTGAAGAATATTTTATTCTGAAAATGTATGGTTGAAAAATGAGTATGAGATAAAAAGAGTTTCGAAAGAATGGTTATCAAATAGGGGCTATATTAGTAATGCCGAACGTTGCTTCTGGAGTCAATGAATGCTTCTTTCATAGACCATGAAGAAACTTAGTTGAGAACTTTGATAGTTCCCCATCCCCATTGCAAAGAAAACAGAAGAATCATGAAACCGTGGATCCAGACTTCGACTTCCAATGCTGTAAAGGTTTTGAGTAATAGAAATTTATTCATCTTAATAGCTGACGAAAAGTTAGGAAATATTGATTATCAACAGTTTGTTAGAATACTGTTAATCGATGCTTTCTTGCTAACAAACATGGCTTGTTTCTGGTCTACTAAGAAAAAGGACTGGAATTCAATGATATTCAGTCATTGGCTGAAAACTTGGACTACTCTCTGTAGTTCAAAATTATATTCACTAGAGAAATTTCTAACCATCAGTAGAGACTTCAATTAGCTGAGATCGGTACAGAGAAGAATCTCCAATCTCTAAAAAAACTGTATTACAGATTAAAACTCTAATCATCGACTCTGGATACCATCAAATTTAACTTTTCCTTTTGTTTCATTCTCAGGTTATGTTATTAGGAAGGTTACATCACAGAAACCTTGTGAATTTGGTTGGATATTGTGCAGAGAGGAACAAACATATGCTTATATATGTCTTCATGAGCAGAGGAAGTCTGGCATCTCATTTGTACAGTAAGTTGGCTATGCTGGTTCAGAAAAAATTGATAGAATAAAAGCATTCTCTGGAAACTAATAATTTACTCCATCTTCTGTTTTCTGATGCTGCTAGCCTTACCTTATGGTTGAGTGGTGTTGTTAAGCCTATATGCGAGTGTGACCCATAGCCATATCTAAATGTACATCAATACTGGATGGTCTCAGATATCATTCTTTCTATGATTAAAGGCGCTGATTGAGCAAGCTGCATTAAAAGTGCACACGTAATTCTACTTGTTCTTTGGTGAACACAAACATAGAACTTACAGAATTGAAATTAGAGAAATTCCCAAGCTAGGAATAGCCATAGTTCTTCTGATTAATGTCCAGTGGACTGATGGAAGGAGGTTCGAGCATTGCAGTTTGTTTTATATCCATGATTTAGCTTTGTCCTTACTAGGTCATCTGATTATTGCTGTGAGTGAACATGATACAAGATCATGGATATTGTGTTATCTGGCAGTGTTGCTCTGCTGTTAATTTAAATTAAGTAGTTCATGTAAATATTTTGTATCTGAACAACCACTGTTCTTGTGATACTACGCCTGGAAAGCCCACAGTTCACCTAAAAATTAAAATAAAAATTGATGAGGATTATTTCCAATTCATTCTCTTCCGGTGCATATATACTCATGGATGACATAATATTGGAGTATCTACTGGAAGGGTTCAATGCTCATGAATATCTTCTTGTCTTTCTGATACATTTAGCTATTTTGATTTTTTTAATTAATTATTTATGTATTTACTTTTTTTTAAGCAATGGTTAATCTGCTAGGTCTCCAGCTTACCTGTGAATAAGCAAAACACGATTTGAGTTTGTATTTTTGTTTACGGAAGTGCTAATTCCAAATGCTACAGTCTTGGTTGATGTATTTAGAATCATCATATAAATGATGCAAGTAACATATAATTTAGCTGTATTCATATTTTCATAAAATCATGTCAAATATGACGTAGCAAAGTTATTGATGATAGTTACTGTTTGGATTTCTTGTTTTATGCGTTCTTTTGTTTTCTTTCTTCTTTCATTTGTAATTTTTTTGTTAATTACATGCTTCTCTTTTGTATGGATATTCAGATGAAAATCTTGAACCATTGAACTGGGAGAATAGGGTTCAAGTAGCTCTTGATGTGTCTAGGGGCTTGGAATATCTTCATGATGGGGTAAGTTTTATAAGTATACCCTTCTGTTGCATGTCAATGACATTGACTTTTATATAAATTTCAGCTGTCTTAAGTGCTTCTGTCATTAAGCATGCTCTAGGAATAATATTCTTTAATCAAGCAAAATTCTAAAAGCAGTAGAGTTTGCTAGTTTCAATGTCAAATTCTATGTGAATTATAATATGTTCAATAAATTGAATTTGTTACTTTATCTATAATAGAATAGTTCAAAAATTGAATTATAAATAAATTGAATTTCAACTGTTTTACAATATCATTTTATTTTATTTAAGAAGTGATTTTATTATTATTATTATTATTATTATTATTATTTTTTGAGTGTGTATGATAGTGATCAATTTTCACCCGTCTCCTTTTATCTTGTTCGCACCTGATCATTAACTTGTATGTTTTCTCTTTTCTTTTTTGGATTCTTCTGTAATTACCTGCAGGCAGTTCCTCCTGTAATACATCGAGACATCAAATCATCCAATATTTTGTTGGATCAGTCTATGAGAGCCCGGGTATGTCTATGTTGATTGCATGTGGAAGTAAATGGAAAATAAACTAATTCACAATATTGCCTACTGTAGTAATTGAAAAATGAGTTCTCTAGGGATTTCATACTCGCAGCATGGAACATATGCAGGTGGCTGATTTTGGGCTTTCAAGGGAAGAGATGGTTAACAAACATGCATCCAATATTCGGGGAACGTTTGGATATTTGGATCCTGAATACATATCAACACGCTCATTTACGAAGAAAAGTGATGTTTATAGTTATGGTGTGTTGCTATTTGAACTTATTGCGGGAAGAAATCCACTCCAGGGTCTCATGGAGTACGTTGAACTAGTAAGTGTTCTTACGGAATGTGTGGATAATATATGGGTAGTAAGTTATGGATCCTATGAAATATGTGGATTAACGTATATATCACTGGCTTAAATTAAAATTTAAACATTGCCAAACAAACACTAGGATTTTGGGATGACATCAGTCATAAGTACTTTTATGAAGTGGTCTCTACTTGGTTTCTCCAATGTTTTCTTTTTAGCTGAATGGATCAATTTCGTTGTTCGTACCTTTATAATTTGTTCCTACTATCTCATTTTCCTTTATTTTTTTCCCTTGTTGATTTGTCTATGTGCATTTTTTGTGCCAACGTTGCAATCATTTTTGCCTTTTCTAATACCAGTACTTTATCATGATAGGCAGCCATGAATACTGAAGGGAAAGTTGGATGGGAAGAAATTGTCGATCCTCGTCTTGATGGGAAATTCGATGTCCAAGAACTCAATGAGGTGGCTTCTCTTGCCTATAAATGTGTCAACCGTATCCCAAGAAAGCGGCCATCTATGAGGGACATTGTGCAGGTGCTATCTCGGATTCTTAAATCTAGACACGATAGGAAACATCAAAAAGATTCATCGAATACCAGAGCAGATGAGGTATCTATCAACATGGACCAATTAGAAAATCAGAGTCCAATTCTTGAACACCGTCGAGTAGAATCTGTGGACAGTACAACTGATTCAGTTGATGTTTAAATGATAGTTTTTTCAATTTTTTTTCAATTTTTTTTTTTTCAATTTTTTTTTTCTTTTTTTTTTTTTTCGACTTTTTTCATTTTTTTATCTGTAAAATCTTTTTTGCGACTTATTTCAGTTTTTGATCTGTAACATCTTCAGCTCTATAGGAAATAGAAACAAAATCGAGTCTCTCCTATTGTTGTCTCCATGTAATATAACAGTTTCTTTCATTTTGTTGTTGATTTTCCCAGGCGGAGCAAAAGGTAGCCTTTGTTTGCAGTGCATCTTTTATTGTGAAGATCGTGTATAACTAAGTTCTCTTATGAACCAACAAGGTAATTTTGTCTATTCGTGTTAAGCTTTTGATGGGATCGTTCAAGATTTACTCGATGAGCTCATATATAGTATCTTGTCGCAGAAGAACTAATGAGTTACTCAAAATATAAAGTGAAAGTAAGAAATAAAAAATAAAAAAAATACAAGATTTCAAATGGTTCACTTGATAGTTACGTTTGCTATATTGTTTTGGAATAGCGAAATTTCTCTAGTAGGTTGGTATTCGTAAGTGTTCCCATGTTACTTTAGAAAGTTGTCACGAGGCTATAATGATTTTAAAAATTGGGGTGTAACAGCGATTTTAGTTTAAACTGGAAAAATCCAAATTGTAAGTCACTTGTGGAAATCCCAATTTAACTTTACCTTCCAAATGGGAGGTTCACTTTCAAAAATGATTGGCGTATATGATTAGTGTATAGAATTTATTTTTACGGAATGTGTACATAACTCTTATAAAGGAATGGTTCCACGTGAATAAATAATGTCAAAAAAATTAACCTACTCTCCCCCCCCCCCCCCCAAACTCCCGAACTGAGGTATCTGGTTTTGTGAATTCCTACTTATATACCAATCATCTCTCTTTCACTTTTGATTAGTAGCAGCGGTAGCAATTCACAGGAAAAAATAAATAAATAAAAATTCAAAAGAAGAAAAATGACAGGGTTTCATAAGTCTAGTCAAACAAAAGATTAGTTTAAAAAATCCACAAACTAAATTCTTTGGGTGAGTGGCCTAAAGATATGGAAAATGAAAAATATAATTTGTAAATGATTAAAATGATCTTACATACAAAAAAGACATTGCTGCCCTAATTCCCATTTCAATTCTCATTTGACCCTAATTAAATTCTATCTTCCTTCCATTTGCTCTTCAAAAATCGGTTGTAGAGGTATGCAATTTCTTTCTTTGTCATCATCATTTTTCTTTATTTAATGAAACCATAAACTCTACATTCCCTTTTCCTTGAACACTCATTTGGTTGAAGTGGGTAATAAAATCTTGCAATATTATTGCTGGGCATTTGGAGAAGAGAATGTTGTAATTTTCAATTTTTGGGTTAGTTTCTTTGTTCATTTTTTTGAATAATTTCTTCATGTTGTTGTATATATGTTTATGGTTTTTATTTGTGAACAATGATTTTGAATTAATTTTATTATTATATTAGAGTTTTGATATGGGTTACTTTTAAACCTTTTCTCATTACCCATCATCTGTACTAGTTAGAGTAAAATGTAAGTTTGCAAAGGCATGTTTGACTATTCTTTTTATTGGTCTACTGTAAAACATACATTTAATTTTCGTCTGTACATAACGACTTACATGTCGTTTTCTGCAATCCGTAACGACTTACATATCGTTATCAGTATTGTACAATGTTTGAAATTTAATGAAATTTTTATATTGAATTACAGTTATGGACATCGCGAATATGATATAGATATCAGTTTGTTTTCCAGTTGAATATGAGTAGTCGGTTGAATGTGTTTAAAAATGAAAATATGCAGGGAATGACAAAGAAAAAACAACTCCTATTCTTGTTGCGAAAACTATTTCTTATGTGGAATTATATGATAAAATCAAAGAGGTGTTGAGCATCAATTCACAACTTTTTCGGAATTTAATTGGAAAATCGACCGATTAAAGAATCTATTCACAACTTCAAATGGTTACGAGTACAGTCATAAGATATCAGTGAACTACATGTTTTTATTTCCAAATAAGATGGATTAAACCAATACTTTGAAATAAAAACTAGTAGCTTGGCTTTGTTGGAGCATATTCTTTTATTATTTCATTTATATTTATAATGGATAATTGATTTGAAATTTTTTTCTGCAAATTACATAATCATCGTGTGTGTTATCTTGTTCATCTACTTGCTTTCAATGTAAAGATTCAAAAACTTGGATGTTTACTTTGTAATTTCGTACTGCAGTTCTCTTGAGGGATATGCTTACTCAACTTTGCTCTGAGAGGAATTGAACATAGCAGGTTGAATATTGTGTTAGCCTTTCCCATCCCCGACCCAAAGAAAAATGGGGAACGTCATTTTTTTTCCTTTTCTTTAGGTGCTAGTGGTTGATGACTTTTTTACATAAAAACAATTTGTCCAGTATTTTAAGCAATTTATTCCTTTAGTTTCATCAAGATGTAGGTCGAAAGTGTGTGTATATATGTGTGTATGATAGAAACTATAATGTAATGGCTGACTTATATACCAAGCGAACTTCCTGGTTTATCATCATAACTCATAATCCAAGTTCCTAAATTTGTAACAGTGCTAAGATTATAAATGATCAAAATTATTCAATGGATCCATAAAGACCATATTAATCGACCGTTCATTTCTATTTTTATAAATTTTTTCCAAAACATTCTTGATTCTTGAAGTTCTCGAGTAATAATCGTCTGAGATTAATGTTGTAATATTTCTTGACTTGTAATTTTATAATTTTGTGCTTATTCAAAGCACAGGATAATTTATTAAATTTTGTAGTCATTGTGCTATTGAAATGTTTTTGCACTATTGAAATGCAAACGACATTCACATAGTTATAGTTGATGTAAATGTAATCAATCTAATGACGATCTATATTTTCTTCCTTCTAAAACAAAGTGTTTAAGATCGTTGTAGTACAAAAATGTATTGATTTTAATTACGACATTGAAGTCGTTCTTGAAGCGCAAAACGATATAGATATCGTTTCAATACAAAAAAGTAGAGTGAATAACATAACGATATTGAAATCGTTCCGATAATAAAAACGACTTCTATATCGTGTCAGTATGAAATACACACTGCTTTACTTATTTTGGTAACGACATAAAAGTCGTTATGACTATACATAAAATGCACTCATTCTAAAAATGACATGGAAGTCGTTCCTGAAACTCAAAACGATATAGATGTCCTTCCAATAAAAAAAGTGCATTGAACAACGTAACAATATTGAAGGCATGATGGGTAGTTGTGAATGGTCGAATCTACTTTTAGCTAGAACGACATAATTATCGTTTTATATGAAAAAAATGGTATCTATGTCATATAGTTGTAATTTGAATTGAAACGATTTCAAATTATTCAAATTTGTACTAAAACGATATGAATGTCCTTATTTGATTTGTGATTTTGACACATAACGATATCATTATCATTTCAGTACAAGTTTGATAACGTTGATATCGTTTTAGCTTAAATCATAACTAAAACTACATACTTATCATTTCAGTTAAAATAGAACGATAATTATATCATTTCTACTAAAAATAATGATTTGACCGTCTACGACCACGAGACATACATCTGACGTTTGTTGGATGATCAAAATAGGTAATCAATTGGGTTTGATCTCACTCAAAGGAAATTATGAGAACATTTTTGTTCTCATGATTGTATACCATCTTCGAACAATTGTAACACAAAGTATATTCATTTACTCTTTTTAAGTCATTCGAATGGTATCAACCCATTCGATGACCTCTTTTGATCGTCTTACGTATGTTGAAGGCATGACATGTAGTTATGGACAGCCGAGTCATTATTTTTAGCTAGAACGATATAATTATCATTTTATATGAAAAGAAACGATATCTACGTTGTTATACTTGTGAATTGAATTGGAACGATTTCAAACTCGTCAAATTTGTGCTAAAACGATATGAATGTCGTTACTTTATTTGTTATTTTAATACATGACAATATCATTATCGTTTCAGTACAAGTTTGACGACGTCAATATCGTTTTAGCTTAAATTATAACTAAAACTATACACATATCGTTTCAGTTAAAATAAAATGACAATTATATCGTTTCTGTTAAAAATAACGATTCGACCGTCTACGACCACCAGACATGCATTTGACATATGTTGGATGATCAAAATAGGTAATCAAGTGGGTTCGATCTCACTCAAAGGAATTATGAGAACATTTTTGTTCTCATGATTGTATACCATCTTCAAACAATTCTGACAGATAGTATCTTCATTCACTCTTTTTAAGTCATTCGAGTGGTATCAACCAACTTGATGACCTCTTTCGATCGTCTTATATATGTTGAAGTATGACATGTGGTTGTAGACGATCGAATCATTATTTTTAGCTAGAACGACATAATTATCATTTTATATAAAAAGAAATGACATCTACATCGTTATACTTGTGATTTGAATTGAAACGATTTCAAACTCGTCAAATTTGTGCTAAAACGATATGAATGTCGTTACTTTATTTGTGATTTTGATACATAACGATATCATTATCGTTTCAATGCGAGTTTGACAACGTTGATATCATTTTAGTTTAAATCATAACTAAAATTAAATACATATCGTTTCAATTAAAATAACACGATGCTTATATCGTTTCTGCTAAAAATAATGATTCGACCGTCCATGACTACTAAACATGTATCTGACATATGTAGGATGATCAAAATAGGTAATCGAATGTGTTCGATCTTCTTCAAAAGAAACTATGAGAATATTTTTGTTCTCATGATTGTATACCGCTTTCGAACTCGAGCGAATCACCTTCATTAGCTTAGTTCGAAATCCCCTTATATTGGTGGTATCAACCCACTTGATGACCTTTTTTGATCGTTCTACGTATGCTGAAGACATGACGGGTGGTTGTGGACAGTCGAATCGTTATTTTTAGTTAGAATTATATAATTATCGTTTTATATGAAAAGAAACGATATCTATATCGTTA